GGCTAACAAAAGGCAAAAGACCACAGTGTGTCCTGCCAATCAGATAGAAAGATTACGGAGGCCAGTGGCACTGCTTGGCAGCCTGCCATCAGAAATAACTCTTCAAAAATAGAAGCATGCTAATCTCAGGAACCTTCTAATATTGTCAATCACATTAATGAAGTGTTTGGAAAACCAGAACAAATGCCTCAGCTTTTTGGGGCTGTGCAACCCCCTGTAATTTTCCACACAGCCGTGGAGTGGTCTGGCTGCTGCAGCCAGCTGCTCTCCTGCACAGCGCCGGGGGGCAGCAGTGGGATCAGCCTGGCTCCCAGGAAGCTTGGCACCTGTGCTGGGAAGCTGACAGCCCTCCGTGTTGGGGAAGGGGATCCCAGGATCGATTTCCCCTACGAAGCAAAACAAGACAATGGAGAGTGCTTGGGGAAGGTAGGAGTTCATGGTCTTCCTCTTTCTCCTCATCTTCAGGCCTTCTTCCAAGCTCCCTCTAGGCTGTTTTTCACTCCCTGACTCCTCATCTCTTTTACCTCCTCACACATCTCCAAGTCTTTTGACATCAGGCTTTGGTCACAGAATAAGCATGCCACAGTGCACTGACAGAAACCAGCTACACCATCTATAACACTGAGATACAACAGTAATGAAGAGGTCCCGTTCAAACCGCCTGTCCCACCTGCTGTCTCCTGCTCAAACACATCTGAAGGACTGCTGAAGTTCTTCCTCCTGTGAGTCTGGTTGCCTTTCTATGCCTGCTGCTCCCATGGCCAGGTGCTTCCAGGGCTACTGTGCCTGGCAACTTCTTTACAGGAGCTTTTCTTGCTCCCTGGCAGCCAACAGAGCTCCCTGCAACAAGCTGCAGGGAGAAGGTGGACACAGCTTCACTTGTTCTCCCATCCCTGGTTGTCCCAGATTCAGGGGACATACTATAGAAATGGAAACAGCCACAGAGCCCAGCTCCTTCCAACACTGCAAGGGACCCCAGGACAACAGAGCCCAGTCCCAGCAGATGGGCTTTGGAGTCTGAATGTCATGTGCTGGGCTGGCAGGGAAGGACAGGGCAAGTAGAAAACATGCAACTGACTGTCCGGTCTTTTTCCTTCTTGATCTCTGTGAACCACAGCCTTCATTATACACACACTCATCCTAACCCTACTTCTTAGGCTGTCTCAGACTGAGGATGACACAGGAAGCACTTTGGGAAAGAGAAGGCAGAAGCCAGGGCTCTTTCTTCTGCTACCTGCTCTGCCTGGCTCCACGCTGTGCTCCCCAGGCACTGACTGCTCCAGCACGAGGCCAGTCCTGCACCCGCTCAGGCACACTCAGCACATCTGAATGTGGTACAGCCAACGGCCTGTCCACCTCTTCTTCTGTGTGCAACTCTTGGCAGCTTTCTCTCAGTCCGTCCTTATGCAGCAATCAGCAATACTTCATTTTCAGTGTCTATGCCAACTATGACATCTGTTCTTCCTGCATGCTCAAATCCAAAACAAGGCAGTGCAACCTAAACTCATCTTGAGTCTCACCCTGCATGTGCAACGAGTCACTTAGCCATCTACTTGGGTCTAAAGGCACAAGAACATCAGTAGAGTTCTCATTACCTTCTACTGAAACAAGCAGTTTTGGTAGGGCTCACACAAAAATAACATCTTCAGCTCCACTCCCCCTGTCCCAGTTCTGACCAGCAGTGCACACAGCGACCCTCCCAGGCCATGGCCATGTAGTCATGGCAGCAGGAGATGCAGCACACTGCAAGGTGGTCTGAAGCCAGAGCCACTTTTAACTGCCCAGCTTCTTTCACAAACAAGATCTGTCTGCCCCACATTTGAATCCCTCTGCCCGATCAGCATGAAACAAAGCAAAGCATGTCTTATCAACTGGAGATCAGCTCCCAAAGCCAGACTTAAAAGTGAACCCATCAGAAATAAGTTTCAAATGCGTGTGGTCTCCCTTCCTTCCCCATTCAGTGTGACACGATGAAACCACAGTAGCTGTTATCCTTCCACCAGTTTTCGTGTGAAGTCCCACAGACAATTCAGCTCAGCTTTTAGTGCTCAGGCTGCTGTCAGCCCTAGTAAAAGTACTTCTGGGTTGGCAATATCAGGCAAATGGAGCAGAACTGCTGGCTCAGCTATCCACGCTTGGCCACTCTCCCGCTGGGCCAATCTCCTGTTTGGATGGGGGAGAAGGATGGAGAGTAAGAAAAGTGCTTCTCTGTATTTAATCAGATACCTGGCAGTCCTGATGAAGCTTAGCAGCAAGGATTTAATGAGATGGACCAAGGAAGCCAGCATGATTTCTGAAAAGGGGAATCTTTTAGCTCTGTCAAGCACTCACCAAGTAACTAGCTGAGCTCTGGTAGATGCAGCAGAGCTGTGAAAGCCTGGCAACATATTTGCTGTAAGAAATTATGTCATTGCTTCCAATCCAGAGTACAAAATCATTCAATCATCAGAAAAAGAAACAGGTACGGAACAGCTCTGAGCTGCCCACTGCCAGGCAGTGCTAAACAGAGAGCTGGACTTTTAAATAAAACCACAATCTTCCTAGCCGCATGATGTGCCACCAGACCATGTGCTTTTATAAACAGCACATCTGGGCACAGAAGCAGCTCTATGTAAAGAAAACAGACACCATTGTCCCAGTGTTGGATTAGATCACATCTCTATTCAGCCATTGGGTCAATTAACATTCTGAATGAAGTTCTTCTAACAGCTAGTCACCAAAAAAATGGCCAGAAGATCACTGACTGCAGCAGAAATACCAAGTCACAGCTTGAAGCAGTGATTGAGCACCTGGTGGGAAGGCAGGGCCATCCCAGGGGAGCTCAGGTGCATGCAATGTACCTGAGTGACTGGATCCTGGCTCCACCCCTTCCCAGACCTCATTTAAGGGGTGGCAGTGGAGGCAAAGATGTCTCTGTAGAGATTCCTGCTTACTGGAGGTCTTGTAAGGGTAAGCAGTTGTGGTTTTCTGTGTCTCTAGCTACATTTGAGTGTATCCTCACCTGCTGCAGCCTCTTTCCATCGTGTTATAGTAATCAGAATTGGAAATGCTTATGCTCTTTAACTCAGCTAGGTGCCATTGTTTCTCTGGTATAATTAATTACAATTAATTCATGGCATTACTGTAGGTCAGTTTCCAAAATATTCCTTACTACCACCTCTCCTGGAAGCTGCTGGTCTGAATGACTATGCCTGTAGCTTCCTAGTTAGCAGAAACAATCAACAGCTTTTTCTTCTGCTGACCAAAAATAAACCGAGGCCAGAGGACAAAATGAGACCTCATTTATAGCACAGAAAATCAAGGGAGTAAAGCAGAACTCTTGTGGAAAAAGTAGTTTGGATAGCTGAGAGTTTGTGTTTGGATGACTGCAAAGCTCTTTGTGTTTAACTGGGCCTCAAACACCCACAGCTGCCTCACGTACTTGGAAGAGTACATGGAGCCAGATAAGAAGCCTGGAGTGCTAATAGTTCATGTGAAATTCAGGTGAGGAAAGGTCTTCAGTTTCACTGGCTGTTGTAACAGCTCACTGCTAGGAAGCTGAAGTGACTCTATCTTCTGCTGCACTGGTGCACACACAGCTCCCTGTTTGTCACACACCACAGCCTGGCTCTGGAATGGAGCATCCAGGGAGGCTGCCCAGCAGAAGCAGCTTTTCAGGAGCTACTCAGACAAATGTTGCCCTGAGATGGGTCTAACAGGACCAGCTCTCACCTTTGGGGAAGGACTGCACCAAGCCAGCCTCTGGGTTTCTCAGAAAACATGCCATAAGAATGTTCCTTTAGGTTTTCATGTGAAAGAGTAACCAGCATCCTGAATTTGTTATTTTTGGTTGTAATGGAAAACACTGCATAGACATACAGATTTCTTATAGATGTCAGTCCTGCAGTGTGAAGATGAGGGACATGGGGAGTAGTGACACTTAGAAGTCCTTTTTGTACCTCTTTTGTACAGTTCTGTAACCTATTGTGCCATTCTGGTAATATAGGAATTCAAATTCCTCTGGCACAGCTTGCTGCTGCGCAATCATAAAGGACAGTCTGTGTTCACAAAAATGACAGAGCATTCTTTTGTCAGCTATCCTAAAGGCTTAACAGCAGCAGTGGGTGTCTGCAGTAGCAACAAAGTGCTTCCAAACAGAATAAAGCATTCCAGCCAGAAATGAAAAAAGAAAACCCACAGAATATCAGATCTACAGACAAAAAACAGTAATTAAAAATTGCAGGATTGGATTTTTACGGATATTATGGTGTTTTTTTATTCTTTTTTTTACAAAGCACTCGGGGTTACTAAAAGAGACATCTGACATTAAGGACTACTTCAATCTCCCTACTCTGAAACTGGCTGCACAAAACACTGGTAAGCGTACACCATCTGTCTGGACTTTGTACCCAGCAGTAACGATGAGAAATGTTCTTACAAACACAGGAAAATGAGTTTGGAGAGCCATCAAATCTAATCTAGAAACTGAGGAGAGAATGACTTCTTGTTATAAACCAGCTCTCAAAGCAACCATCTTAAAACAACCCTTCCAAACCTGAAGTGCTTTTATCACAGGTGAGGTTAAACTTGCTTCCCTTGCAGCTGGAACACTAAATGCAATTTGGACATGATTTGCAATCTGTGCTTTAGCACTTGGGGCAGCAGGGTTTGAACAGAAACAGCCAGCTCCCACCTGTTGGCTGTCACACTGCTGAGAAGTTAACATGGAATCACCTCCCTTCTAAAAAACCAACCATGAAAATGTGGACTTACAAAATCAATAGCTTTTATCAGTTTGGAAGTGTTTCTGCCATGGCTTCAGCAAACTGCTGCTACTCACATAGGATAAGTTGGCAGCTGACTGCAGGAAAACAGTTCCTGACCATGTCACCTAAAAGAGAACAGGAATGGGATGACCAGCACTGCACTGTCCTCTGCAGCCGTGACTTTGCAGAGATCTGCACTATTCACGACTAATTTCTCTATTGCTGGACAGCTAAGAACGGTCACTTTAAATCAAATAACTTCCCCTTAAAAATATTTATTCAGCATAAAAATCCAGAAATAGAAAACATACAAATGTTACAAGAAAATGCCTAGGCTACGTTGTACAGCAGCATTTGAATCTGTACACATCGAGGTACTTTGTGAGACACAACTTCCAGTTTGTCTCCCCAGCAGGTGCTGAGGCCAACACCCTGCCCCCCCTCACAACCTCCAGGGCAAAGCTTCAGAGGAATGATCACGCGCTGTTTGTTCTGCAGGTCTTTAGTCTGAAGAATCTGGTGTCCAGATACACATGCAGACAACTCCTACAAGAATTGGTGCATAAATCTTGAAGGTCTTGCATCAGAACTGCTGCTGTCTCCCGGTGGCTCCTGGAGCAGGAAGGATGTGCATGTAGGATGATAACCACTGGGCTGCTCAGTGAGTACCAGCTTCAATCTCTCCTACTGGCAGTGATGACATTTAATAGAATCAGATGGATCAGAATGAAGGAAACTCGGTTCGTTTGCTCTGTCCCTCCATTAGTAACCGAACTTAGTATGCAGAAGATTTTCTCATGGGAAAACAGATGACAGAGGTTGATAATGGAGGATGATTTCCATTAAAGCACCTGCTTTTAACTCAGTCCAGACTAACTTTGGTTGCTCCTGTGAAATGAGTGGAAGAGCTCGACATCTGCTGCCAAAACACATCTGTCACTAAAGGCACTCATAGCAGCTGGGAACATCCTCCACCACTCTCAGCGCTGATCCCACAGAGCTGGAGGGGGAGGAAAAGACCAGGCAGCTCCTCAGACCTGCACAGCTGGAAAAACATTCTCTGAGGTACTAACGTGTGCAAAAATCAGCAAGGAAAAGGATCCCTGCCTCATGGACAGCATCTGTTATACTTAAATGTACAAGAAATGGGAAAAGTTCAGTGTGGTTTGTGGCACTTTTTTCATATAATTGGGGCTCTCCAAAGAACAGAGAAGCTGGAAACAGATGTTCCCATGAGGCTGGTATGGGAAGGATGGAATACAAACAATTACACTTCTTTTCCAAACGGATCTGGCACTGCAAATATAAATTCGGAGGATAAAGAATGATAAATATCAATTACCCTTTTAGAAAATCCTCTCATATCCTTTCAGCCACTTAGCAAGCACTACAACCACAGATCCTCAGGAGTGGTATGAGTAAGCCATAGGGCTATCCAGCAACATGATGTGATCTATTTTTAATACACTTCCCATCTGCCTTCAAAATTTGCACTAGGCTAATCCGAAGATGTCAGAAAGAAGAACTGCCACTAATGGACAGAGAGTCTGTCCTTTTCCTAAAGCTGATTCATCTTTCTTTTCTGTGATAATCAATCTGTGTCCCCTCTTGCAACCACCTGTTCTTCAGCCTTTTACCCATCCATTTCTGTAAATTTTCTTTTCCCGTAATTCTGGACCAGACTGGAAACTGTGATTTGTGAAGCCTGTCCCTTTTCCCAGCACTGGAAGTCGTTCAGCCCCTTCTGGCCAGCTTGAAATAAGGCTCGCTCTAACTCATCCAGCCGAGCCACCAGACTTGAGGTGTCCTCATTGTAGGCATTCTGAGAGGAGTCCATGATACGACGGAAACGGCTGATAAACGTCTAAAGAAGATAAGCAAAATTACTGACACGTAAAGCAGGGGCTGCTTCAGCTTGAATGCTAGAGACCTTCCAAGACAGGAGATGCTCACAGCAGGGTCTGCCAGCTGCTGGCACGGCTGTGTACACAGCACCTATTAATCCTGGGTATGAAGACAAACCACTTCCTGCCTGAGCTTGGAGAGTGAATATCTGATACAGTGGAGAGGAAGCATTCATGGAATTAGATTTGGCTGCTCTCTAACGACAGGCTTGAGCAGACCAGAGGGCGTAACACAATTAGCATGCACTCCATCTCACTTAACCAGTGGAATGAATCTTGTGCCACAGCAGCTGCTGTAGGAACAGACAAGCTGCAGCTTGTGAATGGACCAGAAGATATGTCATCATGAGGAAGATTCAGCATGCTGAAATAACACTTGCCCCCCCCCCAGTCTACGACTAACACACAACATTTTAAAAACCAAAAGGATATACTGAAAGGTTTTAAACCCAAGCAAAAACAAGGAGGGAGTCAAAACCCTATTTATGGTGGTTTTTTGGTTTTTTTTTTTTTTAAAGTAAAACAGCACAGCTCCTCTCATTTGCTTTCAACAAGTTGCACCTTGCATGCTTTGATATTTCAGTCAACTAGTGACGTACTGAAGTGGTTCTCTTGCTAAGATGTACATCAGCAGAAGGAAAAGATGAGAAAAGGTGTGGTCACCTCCTCAATGCAGAAAGCAAGCCTTCCGTAGTCCCCTCTAAGGAAGGAGTAATATTTGATAATTTCATGAATGAAGTTAATTAATGGAATAGAAATTATGGTTATTAGATTAGCAAACAATATCCAGGAATAGAAGGACGGATCATCCCCCATGATGTGGACACATCAGGGTACTTGTGAATAATAATTCACAAGTAATCCTGACAAACTAGAAAAACAGTCTGAAAATCATTGGATGTAATTTAGCTGGACTACTGCAAGGTTCCACACAAAGGCAGAAATAATTAATTACAAAAATGCAGATTATAGAATGATGGTCTAAATACGCAGGCTTTACCACCTCACTGTGGACTGCAAACCAAATGTGGCAATGTCGCACTATCGAGAAAAATAGAAAAGCTGTGTTGTGATGAGGAAACACCATCATGGCCTGGAAAATTCTCAAAGGAATCTTCCCATGGGCACAAGGCAAGATGTGTGCTGTTCAAGATACTGCTGATCCAAGCAGCTGGAGCTGAACTGGAAAAATACCAGCAGCGATCAGAGGTTAGGAAGCATGACACACAGTGAGGTATCAAATGAATTGGGATCATTTATCCCAGAGTGAAGAAAGTCAATGTTCAAATACATAATAGCCTGCTGCAGGAAGGAAGAGAATCTGTTCTCAGTGTTTACTTTGTGTGAGACAAACAGAACAGAGCTTGTATTGCTGTGAAACAGATTTTGTTTAAGCCTAAGATAGGATGGTGAAGCAATGGAACAGCTGCACAGGACAGTATGAAGAGAGCTTTAAAAACAGGTTAAAAACAAAAAAAATAGGGCAAATCAATTCTGCCTTGCAGCAATGGAACAGATAAAATACAGTTGCATCCTCTTTAGTCCTATTTTATGGGATTTTCTGAAATATCGTATTTACAGCATGGAAACTCTAAGCTAGAATCCAACTCTTGGATGTGCACTTGAGGCTTGCACTGACATTAATAGGCTGCAATTCCCCAAAAGGGTCATACCACCTGATCTACAGATCCTTAATCCATTCAGAAGTCATCTGAATTGGAACAAGCTGTTTATCCTGGAGTCTTCTGGGCAGCTGGGAACAAGAAGATATGCAAACACAGAGACAAACTTCAGGCCTCGGCTCTCATACTTGCCTGCAGGATAGTCTGAGCTATCTCGGGGTTCTCTGGGTTGTCAAAGTTTAGGAGCTGGGAGCCAAATCCATAGTAGTACGGCCCCATTTTATGCAAATCGACCACATTGGCATCAGCTCTGAACACTGTCCTCCAGGCCTCCTTGTAGATCTTCGGCAGCTCCACAGAGATCAGCCTCCTCTTGCTGTCATGCAGCCCCTTGGCCAGCCACATCGGGATCTCTAGCTTTGAGCCCTGCACAAAGAGAGAAAGGCAAGGGCTGTCCCCAGGAAAACACACGTGGACTAACCCCAGAAACTGTCAGAAAACTTTAACAGTGAAGATCCGGTATTACAAAGGGCCAGTTTTGTGCTCAGAACAGCCTCATGCTTGAAGAGGGTAGGTTTAGGTTGGATGTAAGGAAGGAGTCTTTTATAGTGAGGGCAGTGAGGAATGCTTGCCCAGAGAGGTGGTGGCAGCCCCGTCCCTGCAGACTGTGAAGGCCAGGGCGGATCAGGCCCTGAGCAGCCTGATGGCGCTGTGGTGTCCCTGTGCCCTGCTGAGAGTTGGAATAGATGGCTTTTAAAGGTCCCTTCCAACGCTAAGGATTCCATAACTGAGATATAAACAAAACGCTATTCACTAATTATTACTGCAGGACTCTGAGTCTTTGCGTCGACCTCAAAACAACGGCGCTGCTCGAGCGTAACCCCACACAACACCGCTGGTGGAAACAGCTGCGCTCCGCTCCTCGCAGCCCCGGGCAGCGCCTCGCGCTCCCAGCATGCCCCGCGCCGCCGCCCAGCCGCCCGCCCTGCACCGCCCCGCGCGGTGCCTGCCGGGAGTTGTAGTTCCCGCCGTTCGTCACCTCAGGGATGGAGTCCCCCGAGCCGGCGCCGGTCCCTTGGCCCAGCGCGAAGGCCAAGCGGGGCAGGTTGCTCTCGGCGCGGCCAGGCAGCTTCTCCTGCGACATGAGGATGTCGTCCAGCGATAAGAAGTTCTCCTCGGGGCCCAACCCGGGGCCCACCGGGAAATACGCTTCCGCCATGCCAAGGCGGACGGGCGCGCAACAACTCCCGCTCAGCCGCCACCAGGCAGTGCTGCGCATGCGCGGAGAGAATTCCCGCCCGTCGCGGAGGTGGGAACGGGGCTGAGAGGTGGGCGGTGCTGTGGACGATCAGCGGTCCGTGCAAGAGCGGTCAGATCGGTGCCGGTGTATGAAATCCCGCACGGTTGAATTTTTCGCTGTGAGAAATAAAGCACAAGGATGTAGGTCAGGAGACCAGTGCAACGTCAGTCACTCTTTTTCCTCCTGGCACTTTCAGGAACAGATTTGCATTTCCTAATTGGTTGGCTTGCCTGTGGCAGAGAATTCTTATTTGTCAGGAATGTCGTGCTGGATTTGTGACACTAGCTTTTGCAATCCCTTTGTTGTGCAAATGCAGGCAAATAATTAAAAGTAAGCCAGTTGGCTTCAGCAGGATTGCCCATAAGAGAGCGAAGTGCTGTGTCACGTGAATAAACATCGCTCTCAGGAGCAGCGTCTCCAATCTTTACTTTTTAAGGAAGAAGTACAAGTCACTAAATAAAAGAAGAACAGAACCATTTTCCCATTCAGTTCAAATGTGAGAGATTTAGCAGCAGTATTTAGCAGCAGTATAGCACGCTCCAATTTACATCTCAAAGTCTCATTCCTAACCTGGAGGAGGATTGTATCACATACTGCAGACAGGAGATCAGCTGCAGGAGGAAGGGATTTATGGCAACCGAGCATCCATCCTATGGGAAAGCAAAAATAGCACTTCTGGCTTTCAGCTTCTAAGCAGTGTCTCTCAGGAGGAGGGCAGCGATGTCAGCAGAGTCTCTGGCCAGCTTGTAAAAATAATTTCAAAAATCTCTGTGAAGGAGCACTGAAGAAAGAAGATAAACTGCATGCTATAATTGGTATTGCATTCTTAACAAAGGGAGCATAGAAGCAGTTCTAGAACTTTCCAGTGTTTTCTTCCCCAGTGTTACCCGCTGCATGAATCCCTGTTATCATGTGGAAGTGGATTCAGCAATTCGCAAGGAATTTTTACCTGTTGTGTAGTTTTGCTGGTAAGTGAAAAGCCACGATTAGGCAAGTAGCAGGCATTTCATGAACATTCATTGCTTTAGGCAATGCCATGTTGCTCAGACTTTTTTATAATGTAAAGGAATCTTGCATTTGGAGTCCCATAGGTGGCAATTTACTGTTGGTTTTGGGTAGTGATGTGGAAAAACAGTAGTTGTGATATCTGCCTTCAGCAGGTAAGAAATGAAGGAAGTTGCTAATTACAGCACAAGACTGTTGATCTGCAGTCAGTTCCAAAGGGATGAGATCTCTGACACTTTTGATGTCTCGGGGTGGCTGTGATGATGTAAGTAGAACACTCACGTGATGTGGATGAAAGAGAAATGCTGTTTGTTCTTCACAGGGAGACCCTTTCCTACCTGAAATATACTCAAGTGACTGAACAAAGCCATGAGCCCTTCCCACAGTCTGAAACATTAAACGTCAGCAGGTTTCCTTTTTGTTATGTCTCAAAGTTCCCAGTTAAATGCCATAGGGAAATAATGGGAATGCTGCTCTTCCGGGTTAGTTGCATGCACTCCAATGCCCTTCAACAAAAGGGGATACTCAGTGCCCGGAGACAAAAAAAAAAAACATGATCTAATGAATTGATCTTTATGCACAGAAAAAAAACCAAACAATTGTTTTGCGGAAATTATATGAAAACTGGAAAATGATGACTTGTTTGAAAGGAAGACAGGAGGAAAGGAAGGGCGTTGATATATATGAGCCTCACGTTCTATACCAGGTGAAGGTGATAGAAATTTTATTGATCTGGAGAGTTTGCTTAAGTGAGTTACTGAAAAAAAAATAAAATGCAATATTACTTATGTGTTGAGATTTGGAATAAGAGCTTGAATCCTGAATTGCAGGGAGAGTACGTTTGTGTCAAGTCATTCTGTGTGTAAGCAGTAAGTTATCCAAACATGAATCATATCCTTTTTTTTTTTTCCACTGCCTGACGTTTGAGAGACAGAGAGTTAGCTTTGTGAGTGAGGGGAAACCAGCAGGTGAGCTGACAGCAGCATTCCTGAGTGCTGAGAGGATGCCTGTGGGTCCACAGCTTACCAAGAGTGGGAGATGTGGGAGCCTGCCAAGTGTTTGGGCAGTTTGCAGTGTTAACCTTTGGAGTCTGAGGATTGAGGGGACGATGCTGTTCATTCTGAACATTTGAAAGAAGTCTTGTGACTCAAGGTGGGAAGGAATGAGAAGAGCCAAGACAAGCAGCTTGTGCTGTCTAAGAATATCCTGTCGTGGTATGTCCTCAAATCTGACAGCTTTTCTCTTAAGCATGAACTACTCTTTGATGCCATGAAGCCTATTTTAGTTTTCATGAAACACCCCTGTAGCTGGCCAGTGATACAGCTCGTTGCCAATAAGTTAACAGTGTGCAAGCTTCATCTGGTAAATATCCAAGGACGTTGTAATCAAAGCAATAAATCCTGCCTGATATTCTAGAAGTGAATAAATTTTGGTGGGCTGTACTCAGTACCGGGTTTTATCACACAAACCCAGATTCTTGGCAGAGTTTTAATCTCCTCCAGGAGAGCCTGCATATCTATTGATTTTCTCATTTTCTTATAATCCCATATTTGCCAGCAGAGCCAGTAAAGTAACAGGAAAGCACTTTCAGTGGGGAAAGTTTGGCAAACCTGGAGTAATCTCATTGAGATGAATGATGGTTTTAGAATTTATTTTCATAATATGGGGTTTAAAAATCTATCTTCTCCTCATGGTGGAATGTGCAGTCCTATCTGGTTATTTTTTGTTGTTGACAGCGTGTTGTAATATTACAATATTACAATATTACAGTATTACAATATTGCAGTTAACAGTCCTTAAAAAGAATGAAATCTTTTCTGATTAATGCTCCTCTGCAAATGCTTTTCTTATCTTTTGATTGATGGTTTCCATCCTGGAGCCTCCAAATGCCTTATAAGAGTGCTTTAAGTAATATGTTGCATGCACTTTAGCTTTACTCATGGGTTCTCTTTGAGACTTATGTGCAGTTCCGAGGTGTTTCTCTGCTTCATTTTTCAATGCCCACACTTCTTGGGGATTCCTGGAGGTTCTTTTCCTTGAGGGCAGTGAGGCCCTGGCATAGCAGCTCTGGGTGCCCCATCCCTTGAGGTGCTCAGGGCCACGGAGTAGCCTGGTCTAGTGGGAGGTATCTCTGCCTATGGCAGGGGGTTGGAACTTGTTGAGCTTTAAGATCCCTTCCAACCCAGCTCATTCTGTGATTCTTGCTTCTCTATGCAACTCCTTGCCCCTTTTCAACAAGGGATGCTAAAATGGAGATGGTTAGCATATCTGATGTGTGAGTCAAAACCTGACGATAAAGATCTAACACAATCACCTCAAATGTCCCTCCACTTTTAAATTCTCCCCTGCATTCAATTTCCTTACTAGCAATTAATGGAGGAAATAAGGACATGATCACAGTTTGCTCTGACTGCCCAGACCAAAATAGCCGTTTCTGCAAAGCTAATTAGGAATGACATACTTAAACACATTGCATGTGAATTGTCCATTTAAGTTTTAAGAGTTGATGTACAGTGGAAACCCATCTTCCTGAGATGTGAGAGACAAGGTATCGATTCCCTATTGCAGTAAATGGGTTTGAATATTCCAAATTCAGCAAAAAAAAGAAAGAAAAAAAAAAAAAAAAGGCTGAAGAGTCACTCCTGGACTACGGAGACAACCCTACAGTTCAGAAGTGCAGATTCACATGGATTTATAGCATGTTAGTCATAAGGCTGAGTTCCCCTTGGGTAACGTGCTGACACTGTTTCCTCTGCAGGTTCATGGCTCTGACAGCATAAGCTTGATGTGCAGTCCCTGAGCTTGATTCCACTGATAGCATCACCTGCTGTGAAGGTTTGTAAAATGAAAGCTGTAACTCCAGGTGAGAGATTGGTTTGGACTGTGCTGCACTGCCTTACCATCAGCCCAGCAGTGCAATGGCATGATGTCCTGAAGCTGATGTAGATGGAATGTAGACCAAGAGCTGCAGAATCAGAACATGCTATCTTTAATACTGAAAATGAGAAAGCATTTTTCAGTACACAGGGCAGACTTGCTAAGCTATTCTTGTGTAGATTATGCAGCACACAGAGCGTAAGGAGTCGATCCTTGAAGGCATTCTAATCTCCTGTACTAGATGTAATATTGCCTGGTCCTTCCCTGCTCCCATCAGGGAAAACAATGAATTTGCATGCTAAGGAGAAAATAAATCCTGATTCCCCTTCAGTAAGATATAATGTCAACAAAAGTCTTTGATGAATGCAGACTCTTCTTAATTAGATGCTTGGGTAGGAGATTATTAATCCATTTATCTCAAATTCTAATTCTACCATGAATTGCTTGCTGGTTTATGCCTAAGTTTATGATCATATTTATCTTCCTAGAACCTATAAAGAGTCATACTCATAAATGAACATTTCTTGGAAGTTGAATTATTGTATTCTTATTTTTATTCCCTCCCTCAATGTACGTGTATGTAAATATTCTGAAATCCTCACTCGTATTAGCCAAGAGTACATCCTGCAACATAACAGTTCCACAACTGCAGCTGTATGCCATTTCCACATCACGACATCTGACCTTTGAAAAGCATGGATATCTGCACCAGTGACAGCCAGAGGAAGCTGGCTGTCATGGCAAAGGCTGGTCTTTATGGACCCTAACAATGGAGTGGGCATGGCTTGGGGGCTTGCCAGATTTCAACTGTACATTAAAACTGAAAGCTTAGGTTGGGATACTAATGTATAAATACTAATGATCCCACCGACCTAAAAATCATCCCTAGGAGATTCAGAGCAAGCCAGTCAATTTGCTAAAAGTGCACGTAGCTGCCTGGATGACATTCGTTTGCCTGGATACAGCTGAGGATTCGTTTGAAAATATCCTCAGGCAGATGTTGCTTCCTTTGAACGCTGAGTTGGCCTAGTTGGCAGCTGATGGTGTATGCTGCAACAGCTCCACCTGCCGAAACAGCTC